CGAACTGTTTGCCGTTAATAACCTATCTTCATCCCGACCATGGAAATTGACAAGTGTTAAAAATAAGACTGTTCATATTCATTTTCACCGTTTTGTATAGTGGTCGAGAGATACCAAATGTACGAAATATAAGTCGTGAGTTCCTTGCAAACTCATTTCCTAAGTGACCCTGCAACCTTCTTTTTTCCCTTTTCTTTCTCGTGCCGCGTGTCGATCAAGTAAGCATGCAGCGAATTGCTTTATTGTTTCTCAGCATGCAGGGTATTGTTTCTGGGCAAATCAAAATATCGTCGATACGTAAGAGACTTGTCTTTCTTTACCTGGTCCCATGCTTAATATCCCATTTACCTTAACGGAAAGACTGAGTGGTTTAAAGTTCACGAATAAATCTTCATAGAGGTGAAGGTTTGGGGCTCAAGTCCCGATGGAACGTCTGGAACGCAAGCTAGTTGTTTGGGGTGAGGCCACTCCTTGCATTACAGTCCAAAAGATCAGAAGCTCTAATACATCAATATCGTCGACTTCCTCCCATCTGGAGTTTAGTTCTCGTGCAAAACGCCACCGGTGGCCTCGAGTTCAGCACCACAAGCAGAATGAAAAAAGAGCCAAACTCGGAAGATCATTTGACTTCAGTGTCTTCAATCGTTGTTACGTGTATTCATATTTTAACTTAAATATAGTTTAAGGGCTACAATATGAATTCCAGACCTCGCGAGAACGTGCACAGATTGTACTTCTCCCTCGAAGTTCATTATAGTTTTTACAATTTCTTTATAATAGTTTTTTATAAATAAATAAATAAATAAGACATCAGGCTACTGAACAACTATCACCGAGCAAGAGCTCCACGAGTGTTTCACAATTAGTATTCCGCGCTCTCTGTCACGTAGCCTCGCAAACGACCTTCCATTTCTTTCTGGGTTAACGAGTTTTGGACTTTGTGGTAGTACTTTGTTGAACCTTTTCTTGCTTCGACATTGCAATTTTCAAAGCCTCCGCTCTATATTGTACCTTTTGTACGACAGCTTTGCTAGTTTCATGTTCAATGATTATGATTGTAATACTTGTGTGACGACCTAAGACTGTGTCTTTGCATGCTAAAGTAATCAATGACGTAAGTGCAGCTGCATGATTCCTTATTAGTCTTACTTATTAGTATCCTTATATCAGATCCAGGTGGTTATTGAGGAAGTTATGCTCTTTAAATATCTGGCAAAGACTGCCTGGGATTTGGAGAAGTACCTGCCAAAATTCAAGGAGAGAAAGAGAGATGACGGCATAAATAAATGGAAAGTGAATAGAAAATAAAGTGAAAACGTTGAAGTAAATGTGTGAGACATAGAGAGGCAGAGGGAAGAAGAGAGAGAAATAATGAAAAGGGAAAAGAAAAAGAGAACAAAAAAATACCAAAAGAGGTAAAATAGAGAAAATGAGAGAGAATGAAGAATATAAAGTAAAAGAGAGAAATCGAGAAAGTGGAAGATAAAGAGAATATATATTTTAAGCAATCAATGTTTTCCTGACAGGATGCAGCACAATGCCAATAACGAACGTACGTTATAACGAAAACTTTGTTTTCGTTAACCCAAATCTGCAAATTCTGAGTTAAAACGAGACTCTTGAGGACGCCAAGCCCTGGATTTAGAAGGGAATTGATTTTGAAAATTAGAACATTACTACAGCTAATAAATAGTAATTCTTTCCCTGTCAGGAAAGAATTACTATTTATATGCACTATTTAGAGACATTAAATAATCGCTATAAACTAGAGTTTTCAGATAACAGTTGTTCACAGTTCATTCATTTCTCGCATTTGAAAATACTGATATCTCAGAAAAATTGAAAAGTAATGTACGAAATTCTAAATACAATAGAAGTCAATTACTGGCAAGCTCTCTGGTGAAAACGTCTGGTGAAAGAATATATAATCTTCCTTTCTTAAGCAGCCTTATTAAGTTCAGATATAATAACTCTGAATGTGAGTTTTTCGAGGAATACACGGATAAAAACATTCCCAACTAATATGCAAGCCAGCAAAATCATTACCCTACTTTGAAACACCCAGTCAAAGAAAACATAACAACACGTCATGTGAAAGCTATAAGCCTCATTTGCCTTCAGGGGTTCAGAAGCTTAGTAAAGTAAAAGCACTGAAAACAAGTCTAAAAATAATATTTTTGCAGGGAGAAGCAGAATCACCTACTGGTACTAATAGAGTGTCCCACTAACAATTTGTATTGCGAGATAAATATTGTAAGACACCTTATTGTAATACAAGATTTTATTATTATTAAACGAGGCAGTTTGGTCAAGTTTGAAACCAATAGGGTACAACATGTTACCGTTCAAATATAGTAAAATGATTTATTCTCTTCGTAAAAATTCCAATGACATCTAGTTTCAATTTAAATGTCACTATTCGGCTTTAGATGATGACTATTGTTGATAGGCTTTGCGAGGTCGTGATGGATTAGTTCTCATATTACTTTTCATTGTTGGTAATAGAAAGCCATGGATTATTAGAACACTGGGAACCCCGATCATAGGAAAGCCAGGCCAGTTTCGCAAAGTTTGAATTGAGAAAACCAAAGTGGATAAAACAATTTTATGCTATAATACTTCATACTAAAGCCTCTAGGATGGCTGATAGGCAGTGCACTAGCTTCTCGTTGTGTGATCCCGGGTTCGATTCCCAGTTGGGATAAAAATAGAGTTGTATCTTTCCTTTAAAATCGTTCCGTCTGTAGCTATGTGACGAAAAAAGCTCAGGCAGGCGTAGTTTGCAAGATACGGTGAAGGCAATACGCCATGTTCACCACAAGTTTCTCTTTCTTCCCAAGCATGCGAATCAAACTCGGCCCAGGAATGGGGGACACCGTTACCTATCAGGCAGAGTTGGAGAATCGATCCCAAATGCGAAATACATACGCGCCACATTTCCCTTCTCTCTTGAAGACGTTAACCTCCCTCGCCTCCCGGAGTTGGCTCGCTGCGAGCCCGGCTCACCCCAGGCGCTCTACGCCGTAGACGAGTGGGCAGTGGGATGGGGTAAACTCAGGACGCTTGCGGCGAGAAACATTGCTTTGTTTATCCCCCGCTATTGATTTTAAAGGACAGTTGTGCAAGGCAAACTTGTTTACTCTTTTCAAGGATGCAAAACGTTTCTCTCCTTTTCAACATGCACTCAGTACAAACCTTACAATGCTTACCACTTTAAAAAGGAATTTCTCCCACTTGAAAAGCGTTCATTCAGATTTAATGCTGCCGTTACCACTACAGAAAACATTATTTTAGTTTCATTCGGAGAGGAGAAAACATCCACGCTGTTACGAAGTATGTAGCTATCGCTTGTAAATTTTTTCGGCGTTTTGCCTGGAATAAACACAAAACTATTATGTTTTGGCAGTTTGTAAATCTTTATTTTCTTATAACCTCACAATCCTTACTGCAGATAGAGCGTATTTCAACGTCTTTGGCGAGTATACATTTAAATAAACAACAACGGCAGATCTACATTTGTAAAGTTTCATTTCAGATATGCAAAGTTAGTAAGAACTCACTCTACAAAAGGGATGACAAATGTTAAAAGGGCCCTTGGATGATTGACATACACTTTTCTAATATTGTTTTTCACGAAACTGGTCTTGTTTGAGATAAAAATAAACTTGTGGATGCCTGTTAAACGTTCACAGTAACTGAAAAAAACCTGAAAAAAAGCACTTATTGCTCATCGCACATGAAACACTTGTCAACTATGCTTCGCTAACTGCTGTAGCCTCACTCTCACATGCTTGCTCGCCACCTGACGACGCAACGACAACAAAATAACGAACAAATGACGAAATATAAGCGTTCTCTCTACATAAATTTCGTTGAATATAAAGCTCACAGAACGTTCCTAAAGAAACTCCATAGTGCTTTAAATAAATGAAAAATATGAACTCCTAGTGTCTCATAATAAATATTAAAAATTTCTGGGGTATGTAGAGGAGCTGAACATGGTAAAATGCACGTAAGCGGTTTTATTCATGTACCATACCATTCATTGACTTCTTTGCTATTCATGACGGGTGGCATAGATGTTCAGTAGGTGCATGAAATCTCCTTAACCGCAACGGAACCTATTCTGTCGGACGTCTGTGCACAAGAAGTGCCCTTAAAGCCATAGAAAAATATCAATCAAACTTATAGTAACATTGTTATATGAAATTTCCCACAACATGTGATTTCGCAAAAACGTTCATTTGCGACCCGTTTTCATGGCTAAGAAGGTTGTAACATTTATTCTGAGGCATTGTGTTTATAGTTAAGACGAACCCACCTGTAGGCGCTCAGGGTAGTGGGCGAGGGACTTGTAATAACAGTAACACAATGAGAGTAACACAGTACGAGTAGTAACAGTGTTTCATGAAATATCGTACTACTTTTTCATAGGAAAAAGTGATAAGTTTTCGATACCTCCGCATGCCGTAGGAGTACAATTTTTTCGGATACATTCTATTTACAGATAAGACAAATACCCTTGCAGGCGTTCGGCCTAGTGAACCCTTCAATATGCCCTAGACAAAAGTTATGTATATTCTAAAACATCCTATATTCAGATAAGATGAACCCATCTGCAGGTACTGTGCATGGTAGTCACTTCTACATATCCTAAAATGTAGTTACGTTAATTCGAAAACATCCTGTATTCAGATAAGACGCCTTTGCATTCGCTAGAAGGTAGTTACGTTTACTCTGAGCCATGGTATGTGCATGAGAGGAGCTCACCTGCAGGCGCTTGGCGCAGTAGACCCTTTTGCATTCGCTAGAAGTTAGTTACGTTTACTCTGAGCCATGGTATGTGCATAAAAGGAGCTCACTTGCAAGCGCTCTGCGCAGTAGACCCCTTTGCATTCATTAGAAGTTAGTTACGTTTTGTCTGAGCCATTGGGTATGTGCATGAGAGGAGCTCACCTGCAGGCGCTCTGCGCAGTAGACCCCTTTGCATTCGCTAGAAGTTAGTTACGTTTACTCTGAGCCATGGTATGTGCATGAGAGGAGCTCACCTGCAGGCGCTCGGCGTAGTAGACGAGCGAGGCGAAGACGACGATGCCAAGCACGAGGAAGAAGACGAGCAGCGTGAGCTCCTTGGCGGACGCCTTGAACGTGTGGATGAGGATCTTGAGGCCGGGCGAGTGGCGCGTGAGCTTGAAGAGGCGCAGGATGCGGATGATGGAGAAGAACTCGAGGATGTCGGTGGGCTCCACGGGCCACGGCCCCATCGCCGTCTGCACCATGTCCGCGTAGAAGGACAGCGTCGCCACGAAGTCGATCACGTTCACCGGCGACTTGACGAACTGCACCAGGTTGGGGCTCACCTGCGCACGCACACCGCACCATACCACACGCCTTCAGTTTACGTATTATTCATGCGTTTGCGCATTTACACCTTTAAGCACTTACGAGTTTCAGAGTTTATATCTGTATATATATATATATATATATATATATATATATATATATATATATATATATATATATATATATGTGTGTGTGTGTGTGTGTGTGTGTGTGTGTGTGTTGACTGTTAGGCTAATTAAGGTCAAAGTAAATACTAAGTGTAGGAGCATTTAACAACACTATAATGGGTTTCTCATATTTATAAAGGTTTTTGAAACGGTTTTTTGTGTGTGTATTTTGGATATTGTGGCTTGATAGTCGAGATCCGCCTTAAAAACTTTCAGTTACAATCGTCTAAAGATATGCTCACAAAACCACCATTTGTGGAAATTTTTCCCTATCACAGAAAACTTTTAGAATTGGTGTTTTATACTTGTGTCCTCACCGTTGTTCGCTTGCATCTTTTGCCTCTGCCATTTCAGATGTCGCCAAATACCACTGGATTATTTAAGCCAAATATTATATCAGATTCTCCCGAGAATGGAATGCAAATATTACTTCTCCCCTGAAATAAAAGAGACGATTCAAAGGTATACAATAAGCCCGAGAAAGAAACAAAAGAACAACGGTAGACGCAGTATAACGAGAATGAGATAAAGTGTAATATATGGTGATATAAAAATATTGAGATAAGTAAAAGAAAACACAATACCATTGAGCAGAAAAAGAAAGCGAAATTAAAGGGAACGAGACTAAATTAAAGCTTGGGCACAAAATGCTTTGTTTCTCATGATAGGAAAGCGGTTATTAATTAACTTTATTTCAGATTATAAAACAAGCTAGGCCACAAAAATTTGATTGTGTCTTCTCTGACTACTTTTTTAGGTGGTCTTGTTACGGCAACTTCAAGATGACTTTTATTTCTTCAAATACATTTATAACATTAAATATCTTAATTAATGTCTTATTTAAAATTTTAAATACATTAAATCTAAAGAATCTAACACTGACTCGTTACCGGATTTTTTGTGCACAGCCTATATAAACTTGTTCGCGTATTTTTAGTTCAGTAAAAGGAGGAGATGAGCATTTACGTTGCCGATCACCTTTATCGAAGATAAATTCAGATCACGTTAAAATAACACAAATTTCATTATCGTATGTTTTACTATCATTAGTATATTATTGAATTAAATCAATCTTTAACAAAAATCATAAAATAATGTATAGCCCAGAGATTTTTACGTTACGGTGCATTCGAAACGTTTTGGTTACCTACTGTGATGGAAACTTGTATGCTGACCAGAAAAAAATAGAAAATAAATTGTAATATTTATGATACATATTTCAGAAAAATAGCGTTATGTTGTCATAATATATGTTGTTTCTAAATAGTATTTAATGTACTCTGCATTTCGTTCCCTAGTTTACTTAATACTCACTAACTGTAATTATACAAGAGATTTTACGAAAAACTTATTATTCTCAAATTGAGTTTTAATCTTGCTAACAATATACTAAATCGGGTCATAAAGAAAATCTTTCGGTGTATTTTTCTAGAAGAACTCAGAGAAATTTGTACGAGAATTGTAGCAAAGTGTCTGTGACGTATTCATGAAAATAGCGGACACGGATGCGTTCAAGCAGATTGTCTCGTCCGTTAAAATTTGATTTGGATAGCAAAAACTCACTTTTTGTACTAGTTAGAAAAATAAAAGGTGGTAGTTTTCTTGACCTCAATTAGCGTCATGAACAATTCTATTGAATTTAGATCAATGAACTATAATATTTTAAATAGACAACGTTGCTAAAATATTTTACCCTTCTTCAGGGCTATTATTATGTTCTGTTATTATTCATTATATTATATTGTTAAATTGTTATGTTATAATTGTTTTTATAGCTCTAAGGAAGGCTTAATAAATCCGAAACGTTTGAAAACATTGTTTCTCGTTGGCCTGAATTGCATAGAATTTCCGCCAGTCGAGAACGTGAGCATTTGCTGCGGACTCACCACGGATCGCACAGCGAGCTCAAAGGTGAACCAGGCGTTGCAGGCGAGCTCGAGGTAGAAGAAGGCGTCGTGCGGGTTGGAGCCCGTCTGGTCCAGCACCCACTGCGCCACCAGCGCGCCCGACCCGTCCGCCGCGGGCGCCCAGCGCGTCAGGTTGCGCACCACCGGCACGCGCATGTCGGGGTGCGTCTTCAGGCAGAAGGACAGCACCGACACGCAGATGAAGAACACCGACACCACCGCCACCACCTGCGCACCCGCGCGCGCGCTCACACACACACGCTCAAACGTGCTTCGTACACGGGTATACACGAACACTGATATTACCTAAGCACAACCCCAAGTTCAAACATTCTTGGTAAATGTGTATGCACGCGGATGAACACCGATTCTATCAACCCACGAACGCAAGGTCAAACATTCTTTGCACACGAATATAGATGCAAAAATCCTAACCACAAACCGAGTTGAAATGTTCTTCGTACATAAGTATATTCGTACATGCAGACGAATACCGATACTAAGGGTGAAGTCAAGTTCAATGGTTGATTGAGTAGTAATTCCGGGCGCGTTAACGGGTAATGTTATTAGTCCCGAAAGTGCAGTGCATGTTTGAAAGTGCAGCTGGGGGTGGTCTTCGCCGCTGGATTATGAGAACCAGCTAACGGGGTTTCCCCCAACCAGGCGACTCCCACCAGCGGGGCACCGCCCCAACCGCGACAAGCTCTGCGCTCTCGACCGGTCTCCTAGCATGTGTGGTACTGTAGTGCATGTAAATGTAGTTGTAAGTAAGGGGAAGGATATGACAAGGAATGGGAAGGAAAGATCGCGCGCGGTTCGTAGCGCGTTTGCTAGGGATCTTTGGGGGGTTCTTTGGTAGGGTTTGGGGGCTCCGGTAACCACGGAAAACTACCGAACAGAGCAGCCGACTGCTATTATCAGTGAATCCAATTAGTGACATAATTCGACCTAGCTATCTGGTTAGTGTCTGGGTAGTAGAAAATGCTGCCACCGTCGGGGTTCGAATCCCAGGCCGTCCCGGTCAGAGGCAGTGCAATGCCATCAGTTGATGCCCTGAGCACCTCTACCGATCTGAGTAATTGTGTATAGTCGTAATACTATACTGTATAAAGCCGTAACAGCAAGTATGAGAAATTGCGGATTAGCATAATAAAAATTGCACTTATTAGTCGAATTCGAAACAATTTTATTTCCTTTGTATTTTCCAGGCGTTATATGTATGTAACAAAATCATTGCCAGACTTTTCAAGCCAAAATCTGCTTAGTTTTCCGTCAATTTATGAGTGCATATGAAATTAGTAAAAGAAATTGGAGCGTGTCACAAGCAATTACGTCGAGTAATTGCAATTCATGCTCAAACAATCTGCATTGGTTTCCAATAAAAAGGAGAGAGAGTTCTTCACTGATAATGGGATAAAAGGCAATGTGCTGATCTCTAACCACACGTGTAAACGTCGAAGTTTGAGCTTTACGAAGCGTGTTCGAGTCATACACTGCTGCTGCTGCTGTTGAGAGCGTGCACTGCCTCTCCCCTTTTGCGCTTGTGATTCGTCGGGAAAGAAACTTTGACAGTAGTCTCAGAGCTTTCAGGAAGAATAATTTTCCAATTATTTGAAAACAAATATTGTAACGACTTCCCAAACGGCGAGAAAATTTCATTGAGAGAAAGAGATGAATAAAATATGATGAGATTTACTCGATGCAATTATGGAAGTGGTATATTGTGAAATGATTTATACGGTTAATTGTAATGTGTATTAATTATAGAACGATCATAAACTAAGCATTCTCCCAATTAGTTTTAATAAATATCATGAATTAATTATGGTTTGTCATAATGGCAGTCAGTGAGAGAACTGCTCTAGTTGCAACTTTCTTGCAATGGGATGTGGGAAAATAGAACACATTAAGCTTATGATCTAATTTGTAGTGTAGCGTAGAATTTCTGACGATGTTTATTAATGTTTTAAAATGAGGTACGCAATGAATGCAAACTCCTTTAATTACATCACAAACGAATGCATAAAATAAGGTTTTTTCAATGTGTTCAAGGGAGTTTTCTTTCTAGAGAGTGTCTAGCAATCTTCTGGCGTTAGGTAAAAGGGTTTTATTTTACTTTAAATGAAGGCTGACACAAAATAAATTATTGAAATTTTGTCAAAACAGACCTACTTTTCCCACTTTTTGTAAAGAAATGTGAGATTTTAGACATAACTACGCGAAGTTAAATCTGAAAGTTAAAATTATGTCCATTCATGTGTTTTATGATATATTCTCTTAAATGCTAATTATGAATGATATTTGAAAATTTTGATACTTTTTGAATACTAATAGCACGTGCCCAGTTTAAGCATGTAACAAAGTTGCGATAAAAGTACGGTGCCATCACATTGAGAATATATAAGAACCATCATCTCACACATAGACTTACATGCCTGCAGAGCATAGTGGAGGGCTTGATCCGGAACCCTGCTGGAGGTGGCAGCTAGAGGGGGAATGTCTTGCATGTCGACGTCCTCCCAATCTCACTATTCAGAGGAAGAGGAACACCGCCACTTCTAGTGATCAAATATTCACTACACTAACGGGAACAATGTCCACAGCAGTTGACGAGCCCGAAACCTTCATCAATCAGTCAATCGAACCCGGTTCCCTGCGGTGGAAGGCGAAGGCGCCAGCCATTAAGCCACTAAGAACCCCCTTCCCGTCTTCAAAAAAAATGCACTCCCTACCTTAAAAGTACATTTCTCTATTACCGCACTTCAACTTGAAAGGACTTGTTGGTGAATGGGACGTTGTTGGAACCTAAGAGTGGGATACATCACGAAATCGCAGTCTCCCTCCCCGAGTTCCTTTGTGAATATTCGCGAAGGGTTTTTTCGCGCCCGTCCACGCCCCTTTGTCTTCTCCGGGTCTCGCCCTGGGGCTAATGGTTACTCGATGCCAGGGCTAATAGGCGAAGCGCCCGCCGCCAGCTCTTGCGGCGACGCGACGAACCCACCGGTCGATGGACAATGCTGCGGCAGTGGGGATTTCAAGTAGAAAAATTGGCCAAAATTATTTATTGCATACATCCGTTTGTGTAAGAATGAAATGCCTTATCAATTTAGAGATACGACTGAAAATTGTAACCAAAGCTTTTGCCAGCCATATCGAGATTCGGATAGCTTTTCAAGCAAAATATTGTGTTAACTGTCTCAATGAGGCTCTTTTGAGGTAAAAATAAAACAAAATATCTTACTAACAACGGAATAAATGTTACTTTAACTTACTTACTTTTACCCCAGCTTCAATTGATTTCCTCTCCCACCAACTTTTTTCGTTCTATTGTGCCCCCTGCTTCAATGTTCTTCGGATTGAAACAGAGTTGTTTTATCGTCAAAAAATACTGTTAAAAATTGTATAACTTTCTGTGACGAGAATTGTAATATAAACATGGTTTCTTGAGCTCTGGGATGCCTGTTCTCACTCATATACATATTAACTTGAATTACGAATGCATGTAGCAAAGGGCGTTTTTTAACGAAAGCTGATATGAAAATATTCGCTCCCGTATAATACAATAATATATAATAAATTTGCAAAGTCAAATCAGCTACAGGTGTAAGCTATTATCCCTAGTGCTTTACGTGAAGGAATTCACGTACTGCCGCGATAAAACGCCAAATGAATACTTCAATATCTACATTCCCGAAAGAGCTCAAGAACACATATACAGATAGTGAAGCTCGATTTATGTCCACAAGCAAAACGAGGGGCCACCTTAGCACTTGCTCAATGGATCAGGGAAAGTGGACAAAAACCTGAACGAGATGGAGAGCATTGACCCAGAAGCTGAGGTACAATACTTGCTTATTACAGGCTTATTTAGTCATTTAGAGTGATACAGACGAAATGGAAACTAATACATAAAATATCATTATAACAAAATTTGTCCAGGCTTTGGCCCCAATACCCGCCGTGCCCACAGCCTGGTCGCCACCGCCGCAGCTAATAATGCCCAGTCGCTGCTCTGTAATTGGCTGCGACCTTAACGGCCTGGGGAAGTCCCGGCGTGCTTGTAATATCGAGTCGTGTTTCGCTTGTTCCCTCGAGTTTGTACCTGCGTCCGCTAGAACGCGCGTGGGTCGGGGCTGCAAATGAGAGGACGTTCGATGACTGTTTTAATTGAGAGGGGTCGTTCGGAGGTGGACCGTTCGAGTTGCTCGTTCTTAACGTTCGGGCTGAATGCCAGGAAGAGCTGCTTCGAAATTTGCTCTGAGATCGAAAGAGTGACGAGAAAAATCCTTGATATTAGTGGGTTTTATCGTCACGGATAATTTATTGCGTTGGGCACAAACAATCATATGATAGACTGAAGTGTTAATGTTTTATTTTAGGCGTAAAGTGAGACTTTATTTGGTCATAAATTAAGCAATTTATAGGATTCTCTACGGTCCCCTTACAAACGATACAATGTCAGCCGATAACCAATCACAATTGTATTTTTCTACCACTAATAAAATTGTCCTTCTACGTGAAACAGTTGCATTCAATCTTGACTAACCTTCCCAACTCTCGCAGGAATGAACAGAAATGTAGGAAAGTTGACACATAAAACTTGTGAGAATGCGCTGTTCACCGAAACTTTTTCTCATCTTACGCAACAAGTACTAAGATTTTAAAAAAAAGTTAAAATAGCATCATTTAAAGATCTATAATTCAATAAAGTTATGCATAAACATCCAAACTACAAAAATCAACAAGTTTAAAAATGACTTGGAAACATGGGATGTATCTTAAAATTTCGAGCAGCAACGATGTATGCCGAGAACTGTACTATATGCAAAAGTTTTCTTGATATCCCACAGCGGGGGGGGGAGGGGGAGGCGAGAGGAGGGCTCTGTCACGGCTTAAAAGGGCGTACCAACTGTGGGCATGAACTTAACTCGCCACGAGAAGGGCTACGATTGTTTTGAAAGTACGAGGTGGATGTTGCTAGCATTGTAAATTGGTACGTGCCGTTCCGACTCGAACCTAAGTGTCTCAACGTCTCGTTCTATTCAGCGCTCAATGAGAAGTAGGGAGCTCGTGCATGAAGAAAACTTGCTCGAATAATATGTGTGCGATAAGGCTCCAGAAAATCTGAAAAAGTTCTACATATTCACTGTACCGAAAATATAAAAGACCAAAAATATGTTTTCACATCACTAGTATGAAATTTAGAAGACTAATTAAATCAGAAAGAA